AAGTGCCCTTGGTCTGAACTGGTGCTTAAGCTCTAGCTCTGATTCAGCCGTGCCGGCCTCGGTGTAGATCAGAGCTAAACCAAACGTGATTCAGCGAATTTCTGCTGCCTTACCTCATTCTTGTTAGTCGCAGGGTGATATTGGGTATGGTGCAGTTATGGACTGAAGGGCTGTGAAGTCCCTCTTTCTGCACTATGCCAGGGATGGCTCTGGCCTCTGGAGACGGTCTTGAACTTCATCGGTCAAAGGTTGAGGTGCTGCTCTCTACCATCCCTCCTCCCCGGTGCTGCTCCTGTGAGGGTGGCCTCATTATGTCTAAGGACCCTGATTTCAGAGGCAGTGTTGCGGTGTGGGGGGAGGAGAACAATCATTCTCTCATAATGCAAATTGCCTCAAGAAAAATCAAAGTGCATACGTGAGTGGGAAAACAAGAGGAAACTCAGTTCAGATGAGCACTTGTTTGTGAGAAGCCTTTCTCCTGCCTGAAGAGGAGGTTAAACTATTCCGTGCTGGTTGTAAAGCAAATGGGAACAGCCCCATAAATTCTGGATAGGAGGGACCAGCCCTAGGTGGACCCCAGTATGTTGTAGGTGCTGGCTGAGACCTAGGACAGACACTTGGGTGGAACGAGGGCGGCCAGTGACCCATCCAGCAGGAGTGTCCAGTCCCTGGCTGCAAGTCCCTGTGAAGCACCAGAGCACCGGGTCCCACTGCTGGGCACATGGTGAGTCTGTTGGGGTTTCCAACCCTAGAGATTAGACGGATGAGCGGGTATGATATCCTCTCCCCAAGCAGCTGAACTGGGCTTTAAAGAGCAGTTTAGGCACGTACGGGCCTGTGTCTTGTGAAGAGCCTGTGGGAGGCTTTTAAAAGTGGTCATGTTTGAAAATGTGCTGTCACACACATCCACACAAAAATCCCCAAAATATTTGAATCTGCATAAGCTTCTGCAGAGTTTTACCTTTTTTTTTTTTTTTTTTTTTTTGCTTGCCAAAAAGAGTTTTATTTGGGGGCAGAGTGGAATGAGTTCTCCAGAGGATGGCTTTTGGTTCATGCTGTTTCCTTATGTGATTCAGCAAGTAGCCAGCCAAAGGGACCTTTTCCACAGCGTGCACTTTTTGGTGCACGTGGCTCTGATCTTTCAGTGGTCACGTGCAGTTTGCTGGTGACAGTCTGCACCCCCATGTTTCTTAAACAAGCCCCAATCTGTCAAGCCTGCGCACGATGGAGCTCTCTGTTGCTGAGGGATGTGCAGGCAGATACTGTTTGAACTCTGCAGTTGATGTGCAATTGTCCGTTTTTGTCAGGACCATGGCAGTTTGTGTGGATGGACCTAAACCTTCAGGTTTGCACAGTTCTTGCTCTTGTTTGAGGCCTGACTTCTTGTGGGCCCTTTGGGAAATAGCCCTTTCATTTTGCTGCTTTTTTTTTTTTCTTTCCTCCTCATTAGCAGTTTCTAGCAAATTAGCGGGCAATCCTGCATTAATCATCTCCAGGATCTTTCAGTCTATGGACTTTAATTGACTGCGGAGTTGTTAAATTCCTCTCAGCAGCACGGCTACCTCGGGGCAGGGGCAAACCGGCTGGTGAAAAGCAACGCTTTAGGACCTGCATCGAAAGGGCGGAGGAAATGCCGGGGGCCAGCTGGCCGCAGAGCCTGGATGTAAAAGCTCATGGGCACACGAGCATCGCTGCTGGGCTGGGGGCTGCTGGCACGGTTGCTACTGAGGAGTGTTACTGAAGGGAAGAAAACCAGAATTGCTGTCTTGTGTTTTAAAACAAACAACCCGTAGCATTGCCCTAAACATCCAGTGTTAGGGCAACGTAGGCTTAAATGTGTGGTAACTGATAACAGCTGGCAAGCTGGAAGGCCCGTGGCTGTGCTCGGTGGTCATCCCTGGTGGGCTGCTACCCTGATGGGATGAGTGGAGGAGCAACTTGGTGTCCCTGGTGCCGGGAGGTGCCTCATAGGGCCGTGGGTCCTCAGGAGCCTCCACCAGGGTTTGGGCAGTTTGGGGGGAGCGTGGACCCGGAGGATACTGGAGGCATTGAGGCTGCCAGCGCAGGCAGGGCCCGGCAGGGCGTGTGGGGCCCAGGGAGATATGGCGAGCCAGGCAGGCCAGGGCTGTGTCATGGCCATCCAGGGAGGTTATTTTGGGGACCAGCAGCCTGGATAGTGGGAGATACAAGGCATAGGGAGCAGGGCGCGTGTCCATTCTTGCAGTCCATGCTTCACCTTGCGCTACTTCCACCCTTGGGGTCTAGGAGTGTTTTGCTTTTCATGCCCTCCACCCCGAGCAGCACCCCTCGCTCGAGGGCAGCACTGCTGGGCAGCACCGGTTCCATGGCTGATGCACAAGAATTTGGGGAGGAAGGAGGGAGACATGCAGGCTGGAGGGAGCCCAGCCCCTCACTGACTCTCTCCCTTTGCCTCCACAGACTCACGCCTCACTATGTTTACCCCCAAGCTATCATCCAGCCCAGCGTGGTGATCCCTACCCCTGTGCAGTCCATCACGTCTCCCTACATCGACTACACCGCCGCCAGCCAAGCCTATTCCCAGTACACCACAGCTGCCTACGATCAGTACCCCTACGCTGCCTCCCCCGCTGCCGGGTTTGTGGGATACGGCTACACGGGCGCAGTCCAGCCTCCCATCACCGCCAGCAACCCAGCGGCGCCCGCCACCGCTTTCGTGCAGTACCAGCCCCAACAGCTGCAGCCTGACCGCATGCAGTAAGGGCCCTGCCCGCGCCTTCGCCACCTAGGACAATCTTTTACAATGGAAGGATACGGCTAGGACCACAAAAGCAACAACAAAAAAAACAATAAAAGAAACAAAACAAAAAAAAAAAAAAAAGAAAAAAAAAATCACCCTGCCCCTTTATCCCCTTTACGTAGGTGCATATCGATACCTAAGCTATTTATAGTGTTAAGGGCGAACCCAAACCCTTGCAGTCTGACTGTGCTTATGAAAATGGACTTCTGGTAAGTTGTTGGGGTTTTTTTTTTGTTTTTTTTTTGTTTTTCCATCTGGACAGATACTGTCTTGAAGATGTTCTAGAAGTGACTGAAATGTTTCACAGGAAAACTACAGATTCTTGCACACATCGTGGTCTGCTTCTTTCCACCCCTACCCTGTCTGCCCCGTCAACCCTTCCTTCCTCATCAAACCTGCAATCCTCTTATTTACTGTTGAGGTACAGAGGTACTCGGAGAACATGGAGAAAAGCAATCTTATTTTTTGGTTGTACAAAAACTTTGTAATACTCAGAGATGCCTTACAGAAAAAAGAAAACAAAAGAAAAAGAAAAACTATTTTTTAATATTTATTGCGATTTTATTCGCATGAGCTGTGAATTGCAGACAGAAGAATAGTAGTAAGTATCTGCCTTGTTTAATTCTCATTTTACTAAATTATTGTATGTAGGTAAAAGTTCTTAAGTAATTGCTGAATCACTTCAACATGCAAAAGGGAATATTGGCTTGAAGGAGAGCAGAATATTCCTTTAGTCAACGCACTGTACTATTTTCTTATTGTAATTGTTACTCTGTCAAGATTATCTCAAATTTAGGTATATTTTTAAATGCAAAAAACCAACCAAGAATACCGAACATTTTGTCTACTTTGGTAGATCTTTTGTTACAATGCTGCAACCTATGGAGACATTTACAGTATTTATGTAAAAGAGATTTGGGGCTGTTGGCTGGCGAAGCTTAGAAGAATATCATGAGTAGAGCAAAAGAGAAAAGGGTGTTATGTCATTGAACAAATGGGTAAGCATAACCTTTTTATGCCTATAATCCAACAGCCAAATAAAGGAAGAGGACAGACAATGTAAGTTAAGTGCATTTCTACAAAGAACAGCAATAAACTATTTTAACTTTTAAAATTATTCAATACTGTATGGTACCATGTTTGCTTGGCTGAAGTCTATTAGGGAGAGCTTTCAAACTGACCTGATCTGGCCACGCTGGGCCTTCGCCCGCGAGCGTGCCAGGGTGGGTTGGGAGCACGTGTCCCGCAGTGCTGCGGGGCCTGGCGAGTGCCCCTGCTCGCCTCCTGACCCGCCATCGCAGCGCACAGGCGTTGCAGGGGTGCTGCCATCCCTCGCAGCGCGTCCCGTGCGCCGTTACTTGCTCTGCATGTCCCAGCTCTCCTCGGGATTTTTGAGCTCCGGGAGTGTCACGCTGGAGCTGCTCGTGCCCAGCACCGGGCACCTGCTTGCCCTCAGCCTGGGCGGAGCAGAGGGTGTGAAGTGCTGCCGTCCTGGTGCAGCTCCAGTGGAAACTGGGACAGCTCAGATCAGATCTCAGCCTAGAATCCTCAGGATATCACTTGTGTTATTTGCTTTTTCTAAAATTGAATCCATCCCAGAGTGAGTGGTCTGCCAAAGCTGTGTCCTGGTTAAGGGCTGGGGTGCTGGCGGCCTCTGACCCAGCAGGGCCCAGGCAGGCTGCAGGCAGCAGCGAGGCTCTGGCAGGGTGCTCGCGCCCCTGAGCCTCCTTTGTGTTAGTGAGATGGCTGCATTTGACTTTCCCAACCACCTTGCTTTAGAAATTTGGGTTTTTTTCAGATTTTGGCAACTACAAACTTCAAGTACCAGTTTTTAAAAGTAAATAAAATTACTCTATTTGGCCATGCCGGTTATCTAGTCCATCTCTGTAAAGGTTATGGTGGAACTGGTGCAGGAAGTCCCTGCATCTTTGGTACCAGTGTATATTGCTGTTGAAGGTGATGATGCCTAAAGCCATCCTGGGGGGAGATGGTGCCGTAGGATGAAAGCAGAGGCAGTTGAGCATTGTCTCATCAACTGCCCTGGTGAACTTCAGGGCACATCTAATGTCATTGATAGGCCTCCGAGTAAACCACCTGTCTCGATGAATGGAAACAGCTTATTGCTCCCTTGCTCGTATTGCGTGAGAATGGAGATCCTGGTGGGGCTCTATTCATCCTGCCTTGGGTTTTGCTTACAACCACGCGGGTGACATTTATTTCCTTTTTAAGTAATTACTTTCTGGATATGGCCGTGAGGCTGCCAAAGGAGTAAGAGCTGAGCGCTGCATCCAGCACGGCGCTGGCAGGGAGCGCAGCCTGGCCCGAGGAACCTGCCTTTGAAGTACTATCGGGGGTGGAGATTATTCAGCAATTCTTCTTTCTCCCTGTCATGAGTCTTTCTGAGGACAAGGAGGGAGGGGAGGATTTTGGAGGCAGATGGGGGTACTGGGAGCCGCCGAGGAGCGCTCAGCCCCAGCCCCACCGTGTTGGGTTGCCCGTCCTCGGGCAGGTTCAGCGCTGCTGATGGTCAGCTTTTGTCTTCACTGTGGACCTGCATCTGCCCCGGTGAATAGGAAGGTTAAGGCCTCTGAAAATTAGTTTGTTGTTGGGAAAAAAAATGCGTCCTGTGCATTTTGAAGTGAAGAGTGATGACTCTAATTTCCTGAAAGGTGGCCAAAACTGCCAGGAAGCAAAGGGCGCAAGTGGTGCTGAACAGCCACATGCCTCCTTCGCCCGGCACCCAGCCTGCCCCTGCCCAATGCCATTCCTGGATCCTGCTCAGTTTTGCTCTGGGCTCATTTTGAGAAACAACCACATCAAAACAACAGCCCAACCTGCCGCCTTCCTGTTTGCGAAAACCCAACTGTGAAATTGCGGCCAGGCAGAATAATGAAATCCGCCGCCCAGCTTCCCGGGTGGAAGTGGGGTGGTGATGGCAGGTGGTAAGGGAAGTCTGCGGTCCCCTGAGAAGGAGCCCAAGTGCTTCCTTGGCCCAAGGCTAGGCTGGGAAAGTGGGGCGAGCCTGACGGGTCGCTGTATTAGAGGGACAAGAGTTAAATGCAGTGCATGAGTGGTGGGGCGTGGATGAGAGGCAGTGGCTTTGTGGCTCACAACTGGTCAGGGCAGCACGGGACGAGTGCTTAAATCACTTTGCAATTGCTTAAAAGTGTCTTTTTTTTTTTCTTTTCTTTTTTTTTTTTTGGCATGCATTGCTTGGCAGAGCATCCTCTTCCACCTGCACCGTGTGCCTTATGTTGTCCTGGCATGAAGCAAGCTCTCCCCCAGGCAGCTCAGCTCTGCCCCAGGCAGACAGGAGCCCAGGGTGGGCACAAGCTGGGGAGTCACGGTGCCGTTGTAAGAGCTTCAGTGTGGCAGCATGCAGCCGCAGGGAGGAGTGGCGAGGGCTGGATGGTTTTGGCAGGGCAGCCCTGGCAGCACCATCTGCTTGGCACAGGTTCCAGGCGTGGGAGCAGCCATGGGGGACCAGACCTTGTCCTGGGCACATCCCCGTGGCCATGTTGGTGGCTGACCGGGTCCGGGCCACTTCCCAGCAGCTGTGCCCACATACCCCGTCGTTTGCATGACAAATTCAAATCATTTTCATAGGAAACCATCACATCATGGCTGTCATGGTGAGATTTGGCTTGTGTGGGCTGGCGCACGTGCAGCCCTTCTGCTGTCATGGGGAAGCATCACCACAAATACCAGTGCCAGGGTCCTGGTTATAGCCCAGCCGAGCCCAGCCACAGCCTGGCATCACCTCCCTTCCC